ATTGACACGGACGACGACGGACAATCACTCATATGATAAGCTCCGCTCGACAAAGTCGACAGCGGAGCTAAAAATGGGAATGTTAAAGTTGCATTTCCACTTTGTAAGATCCATAGAAAACTCTCCCTGACCCTTGTAAGCAAGTTGTACAGTTCAAGAGAAATCTTATCCAACAGAATTCTGAAATCAAATTTAGGAGCACATGTTGAAACAAGCAGCCTATCGGCTGAGATAGCTCCGCTGTTAGCAAGGCACATTTCAATTAAAGAACTGAAGACATCATTAGAAAATGAACAATATGAATAGTATCAAAGCAATCGGACTGACAGTTTTTAACAAGAAGTCGAAAATATCACTTTTTACCAAAAATTACAAAAATATTCACCAAAATAAATTAATTAGAGAATTGAAGATATCATCACAAAACGAACAAATCTGAGAGAGGTCCACATGTAGTACCTATATATGTAATATCAAAGCAATCGGACTTACAGTTTTCAACAAGAAGTCGAAAATATCACTTTTACCAAAAATGACAAAAATATTCACCAAAATTAGAGAATTGAAGATATCATCACAAAATGAACAAATCTGAGAGAGGTCCACATGTAGTACCTATATATGTAATATCAAAGCAATCGGACTTACGGTTTTTAACAAGAAGTCGAAAATATCAGTTTTTACCAAAAATGACAAAAATATTCACCAAAATTAGAGAATTGAAGATTTCAACACAAAATGAACAAATCTGAGAGAGGTCCACATGTAATACCTATATATGTATTATCAAAGCAATTGGACTTGCGGTTTTTAACAAGAAGTCGAAAATATCAGTTTTTACCAAAAATGACAAAAATATTCACCAAAATTAGAGAATTAAAGATATCAACATGAAATGAACAAACCTAAGAGAGGTCTACCCAAGGTACATATACACCAAGTATCAAAGCATTCAGGCTTGTAGTTTTCAAGAAGAAGTCGAAAAAGTAAAACATTGACACGGACGACGACGGACAATCACTCATATGATAAGCTCCGCTCGACAAAGTCGACAGCGGAGCTAATAAAGTTGCCTTGAGTGATTATAGGAATGAAATTGTGTTTAATTTGCTGATTACAAACCATAACCAACAAAAAATGTTGTTTTTTACAACTGGAATAAAATCTTCAAATCGCAAAAATTCCTAGCAAAAATTACAGTATATGTAACTATATCTAATTATATCTGTAATACCGGTAATGTTTACTGTAAAATAGATTTTATTTCAACGTGGAATATATTTTCACAGAGGGGACGAATCAGTAAAAATGTTTGTTTTCATGTTCATTCAATAAAATATTCAGTAATTCCTAGTTTGTTCAGTGAGATAGGTATAGACAATAAATCTCACATCTATGGCAACATTGACAACAACATAGTTGAACTCTGGTGACCTTGCCCTTTGTTATATAATATAATTCCTTTTATCATAATTTGTTTTAATATAAATATGCATTGTCATAATTAATTTTGAATACAAACAAGTTTTGGGGTTGAAACAACAGTGGGGAATCAGTCTACCGAATGTCCTTAAAA